TGTAAATCAAACAAAAAATTATTCCGAGATAATGAATGCTATACTAAATTAGTATCACTGGGCCCACACGTTAATATGATATTAATTAGATAGATAAATTACGTAAATCTTTCCTAACAAAATGCGTTCCAATATTGTTAACCAATTTAATGGGATTTTGTTAACTAATTTGATAGGATTTTGGTAACCACGGGATTTTGTTAGCTTTTCATGGAAACACGTATCTTCATTATTGATAAGATTTTGTTTCCAATTTTTTTTCCTCTCTCGAAAATTTGATAAGGTTTGATAAGATTTTGTTTCCTGTTTTTTCTCTCTCTCTAAAATTTGAGTTGTGGATTTGAAAAAAATAAATAACTAAATAAAATAAACATATCATATTGATAAAGTTTTAGTGTGGGCATAAAAATCAATTTTGATTTGATTGAACTTTGTTTCATATAAACCTAAGAGAATCAGACGTTTGAAAAAATAAAATATTAATAGTAAATAATTATACCATATTTGTATGGTTAGATTTGAAATATTGAGGCATAAAAATCAATTATGATTTGATCACATTTTGTTTTATAGAAGTTATCTTAGAAAATTTTACACGTTTCAAAAAATTAAAGATTATGATTTCGTAAATTAAAGTTTTAGATTTGTCCCAATAAATAGGAAAATATCAAAATAAAAATAATATTTTTCAATCTATCCAAAAAGTCTTACCAAATTTCATCGTAACAAACTCCATTATTTTTTGCTACATAATCTTCTAAATATTCGTTCGTCCTCACAAGTGAATCACGTTCCATATTTTTTTTTTTTTAACAAAACCGATAACACATATTTTTAGAAGTCAATCATAATCATAATAAAAAAAATCAGATCGGATCATATTAAATACCTTACGTAAAAAAAATTTTATTTCCCAGACATATGGCACATACACATGACTATATAAACATCACCAACATTGAACAAAAAGTATTCGACATTCAATACATCCCACAAAACAATTTTTTCTACAATCTTTTACATCACCATTGAAAATGGCTTTGGATTTTGGAGTAATGAAGGATATCAAAAGGTCCAATAAGCCACCAATCAAGCTACGCATAATTGGTATGTTCCAACAAGTTGAAGACGTACGCAATTACCTAAATGTTCTTGAGATTATCTTTCACGATTTTAAGGTAATATATTCTTTTATAATTATTTAAATGCATCATTTTATGCAACATCTTTTATAATTTATTTATTGAATTATTCATTATGCAATATTTTGGGGAGGACGAATTACTAGCATAATTCGACCTGTCAATATCCTAAAAATCATCGGTGATATTGAAGAAGGTGGCGCTTATATCTTGACAAACTATCAAAGGGAAGCAATATTGGCATCCATAAATCGACAATTGAAAAAAGGAGGATCATTATCAATGGTCAAACCAAGATTATCAAATGGAGGGGTGATTTTTCTATGTATCGTTTTGACTTTAGGAACTTTCTAACTTTAATGGATGTTCGTAACATTGATGAAGCCAGGTTGTTTGGTACGTTATATTTTTTTTGTTTATTTCTTATTTCAAAATTTTTTTAATTTAAAATCTGTAATAAACTATTTTATATGTTATACATTTCAATATGATGCATTTTCTTATATTTTTGTAGATGTTATTAGATTGACTGTTTACAATTATGTTTTCTTACGCCATGACTATAAATAAGAGCCAGGAACAATCATTATCGTATGTGGGCTTATTTTCTTAAGAAATCAATGTTTAGTCATGGCCAATTGTATGTTGCTGTCTCCCGTGTCACAAACAGAAATGAGTTTGAAAGTCCTAATTTTTGGCGACGATGACGTGCCAAAAAATCAAACCATGAACGTTGTATATAAGGAAGTGTTTAATAATATATAGATTTTATTATCATTGTATTTAGTAATCTATTTATTATTAATGGCATGATCTTTCTTTTAGTACGTACTTTGAATTTTAATTGAACGTTGCTTTATAAAAGGGATGGAGATAATAAACATCCGTGCATCGCACGGGGACTGTACTAGTTCGATATTAAAAAGGAACAAAATATTATAAATAAAATTTTCATTGAGATATAATTGCTTCATGTTCATTACTAACATTTAAAGTGTTAAAAAAATTGTCTACACGTCTTTTGCGCTTATCTAGGTGCCACAATTTTTGCCTACATGACCACTATATACACTCAAAGACATCTAGATGGACTATCTGGGTGCCACAATTTTTGCCTAGATGACCACTATATACACTCTAAAGATATCTAGATGGATTAGGCGACGCCTAGTAGACTAAGCGGTTGCGAAGTTAGTCATGTTCAAATTGGCTGAACTATCTAGTTGTCCTTATTTTTTTTTCAAAAATTTTTAATTTCATAATAAAAATAATTTAAATTTTTATATACGAAACATACATCAATTATATAATAGAAATATTAATCATCCTATAAAAATTAACACAATATGTTTTGTATGCATTAAATTTTCATAATATTTTTACTTAACATATTAATTATATAATTTGTCTAATATCTTATAAGATATGCATAATGATAAAAGCTAAAATAATAATAAAAAAAGGCGTATCATTTTCATTACTAACTCTCTTTAATTCATCTTTTTCATTAGGCTGGAAATGAATCGAGCATTGGCCTTATCGAGCAAGATTGGACTTTTTTAGCCGCTAGAGCTCGATTTATGAAGCCCGAGCTCGTCTCTATAGAAAAGTACAATCTCTCGAGTTTGACTCGAAATCAAAATGCTCGTGCTCGGCTCGAGTTTGGCTCAAAAATTTTTAAGTGGAAAAATAAAATTACCATTAATAAACACCAGTGTTATACTATTGTAATATATATAAAGGGTATTTTTAATAATTTAACATATATCTCGAGCCGTTCGAGCTCAGCTTGAGTTCGGTCAACCTCGAGCTCGAGTCGAGCTTTGACTCGAGCGCTCGCGAGCCGCTCGGTTCAGTTGCAGCCCTATTTCCAATATTAGAATTGACTGTACAAACTAAACCCAATGATAAATATGCTTAAATATTCATTAAACAAACTTTTGATAAACCTTAAATATTGTGGAAATAAATTAAGTAGTGAAATAAACTTTTGATAAACCTTAAATATTGTGGAAATAAATTAAGTAGTAAAACAAGTGCAAGCAATAAATTATAATAACTAATATGTATATAAAGAAATACACGTCAGAACTAACATTTTTTAGTTGATTAATNAAAAAAAAAAAACAAAAAAAAAACAAAACAAAAACAAGATGCTCAAGGACGAAAAGGTTTTGTCGTTTTGAAAGAAAAACTTGTTGTATGGGGCTGAATTATAATCCATCCTGGGCTGAGTTAACAAAAATATTGGCATTATATATACATATCTCTTTTTTTTATGAAACAAGCCTGGGCTGGAGTCCACCCAGACTTTGGGTGGCTCCGCCTTTGTGGATAATGTATTTGTGGAAATGTTTGTGTAAAAAATGTTTTGGATATTATCAACGAGGAGAGATATTTTGGTTGTTTTACAGGGGTTTGGGGGGTCAAGGATAGTCTGAAAAGTTGCGCGTTGAATGAGTGTCACAACACGTGTCGAATTCCACAAGTGGAACTTTTTTATGTGAGATCTATATCTATATATAAAGAGGTTGTTGGAAAAATATATTAATAAAAAGTTTGACCAAATAAATATAATATTTGACTTATTATTAATGGAAAGTTAAAAAAATACATGTGAATCTTTAGTCACAAAATCTGAATTCTATTTTTTTACTAACTAATTTGGAGATTCTTATGGCAAAATTTGAATCCCATTTTTTTCTTATTATATTTTATTTTTTTTACCAAAATTTAAATCATATATTTTTTGGTAACAAATTTGGAGATTCTTATGCAAAAAATGTGTCAATTATTATGAAAACAAAACTAAATACAAATTAACTTAAAAACCGTACAAATTGGATACAAATTTTGGAAACAAATAGTTGTATAATTCTTAACCAATTCTTCTAATCTTATTGAATAATTTTTTCTTTAAAAAAAAAGTGTGTAAATTGGATAAAACCACGTGCAATTTTTATTTTAGAATAAAACTGATATTTGGACGAGATGTACATTCAAAATTGTGTCAACATTTTTTGGTAACAAAAGCCCATCTTTGATACTACCTCCTATTCTTTTTAAATGTCATTTTGGCTTTATCAACTATTAACCAAAATAAATGTCGTTTTGGATCTTTTGTACATATTTTTCCATTATTACTCTTATTTAGTTAATAAATACACTACGTCTTTTCATATTCTCTTCATCTTTTTTTTTTTAAAACATCAATCTCTATCTTCATTAATAAGGGTTATTATTGACAAAAAAATTATTCTTAATTAGTGTGCAACTTCCCAAAACGACACTTATTATGAATAGGAAGGAGTATTTAAAAATTAAAAAAATCTTAAAATATCCTTAAATATTTAACTTATTTGAGATCAAGATTTGCTACGTCTTTTTAAGATTAGTTATGATTTAAAATAAAAAAGAACATTATACAAAATTTCACTCTAAATCTCACATTCACACTTAAGATTTCATAGTATTCCTCTAAAATTTGACCATCCTAAAAGTCTCAAATCTTAAAAAATTTCAAAGTGACACTCAAAATCCTATACGAATACATATTATTTACCTATATCGTCAATTTATAATTATTATTAAATATTATTTACTCGTGCATCG